AGACTCTGAAAATGATGAATCAAACAAATGAGAAGGTGAAAGAAGTGGACGCCACTACCCAAAAGGTGAAGAAGAAAGTACAAAAACTGGAAAAGAAGCAAGTTTCTACAGAAGAGCAGTTGCTACAATTACAAATGGAAAAGGCTAATATGATCCTTCGCTTTCAGGACATGCCAGAGACTAAGGGAGAGAATCTGAAGGAAATGATGAGTGAAATACTGGCCCCAGTGACAGAGATGAAGGCAGAATTTTTGTTAAGCGAAATGGATGTGGCCTACAGGTCATATTCAGGATACATAATGAAAAATAATCTGCCTGGGGAAATTGTCGTAAGATTCTCAAAGAGGCATGTAAGGGATGCAATCCTGAAAGCTGTATCTGGAGCACCACTGAGAGTGGGGGAGAGTACTGAAGGATATTCCATTTGAAATAAGAGCGGAGAAAGAAATATAAAGACCTTGTTCTTTTTCTTCAAACAAATTCAACTGGATATAGATGGCTAATTCCAGAAGAACTTCCGGAGAGGACTCTCTGTCAGAGAAAGGGGCAGCAGCTCCTAAAAGTCCTTATAAATTGCGGAAGAGACTGGACAAGAAGAAGTGAAGGCTGAAGGACTCTGAATTGTACCTTTGAAAAATTTTGAATTGAGATGCTTTGGGGTATTTCCTTATATCAGTTAAATTTAAGATGTGGGAAAAGTTAGCAGAATATGTGACTCAGTTTGTAATGAGATTAATATGATTAAGACTAGATGTGTATTCAAGCTGATTAGAAGATCTCCTCTCTTGGGTTTTTAGTCAGTAGTGGGTAGTTCCCTCCCTTATTTCTGTTATAGTTTGTAGTTTTAATAAAAATGCAATAAAAATTCCCCATTAAAAAAAAACAAATGAAAGAAGGGGAGCAAAAAAGAAAGAAAGAAATCCCTCCCCTTCCCAAATCCTGCCCCTCCTCAGGCTCCACTCCCAAAATCTTCAGGTATTCCCTAACCCAGAGCTGGGAACCCTAAGAAAATGATGGCTTTGGAAGGTGAATTTATGGCATAATGCCTCACTGAGGTCTCTCCTCTCTTCTCCCCAACCTTGTCCTCTCCGGGCTGCACTCCACAAATCTCCAGGAATTTCACAATCCAGACCTGGCACCCCTAATCAAAACACACACACACAGAGGAAAAAGATGTTGAGTACATTGCACAAATAAGCACCAGGCTGGTCTGTGTTATGACAAACCAAGGACAGCCGATTGACTTCTTCCCATGTTCTGTAAAACAGTGCATTCAAAACTTAAGGCTATGTCTCTGATGCTCTTCAAAACCACAACACCAGATGATGACTCACCTGTCTGAATGAGCCATGATTCATAATACACCACAGAAAAGGTGTTTGTAATCCCTCATGTTACCATGAAGGCAGTGCTTTGCAATGGGGTCTGTTTACACATGCAGCTACAAGCCATTGGGCAGAGAAAATGCACGGGTGAGACAGCCCTCAAAAATTTAGTCTGAGGATTCTATCTGCAATGGTTATTCTCTACATGGAGTCAGTTTGTCATGGTGCTAACATTTGATGCTTAAAAACGATGGCTTTGTCTTTAATAATGTGTGTGGTGGAAGAAGTTTGGTCAGTGAGCATTCTTTTGGGAAAACAGTGCTGTGCCGAGAGAAGTTTCATCTAATAATTAATTTAAGCTATGCTGCCTCCCTTGGCTCATTGCTTTCAAAAACAATCTAGAATGAGAAGTTTATTGTTGTTTTTTTATGTGTGCCTAATGTATCTTTCTATAGCTTCACTTTTTTTTTTTAAAAAAAGGGCAGACTCCAGCAACATTTGTTTTATTGCCCAAACATTAATCCTACAGTATGAATGGTACATAGCAACTTGAATTTCCTAGCCCAGTTGCAGGGATTTTTTGGGGGAGGGGGGAATGCATAGAGAAGCTCTATAACCTTTGAATGTTAGGACATTGTCACCTGCACATTAGTAAACATTGCCCCCAAAGTACTGCCACTTACCACAAAAAAGCACCCGCAAACAAAGAACAAAATGTCAGAAACTTTACTGGAAATCTACTCATTTTGCCATAAGGGATGCTTTTGTATGCTAGCTAATAAATTGCATTAGAGGTAAAAAAATGCCCCATAGGTTTTCCTCAGAAAGCATTGCTCTGGAAAAATAATAACTTTAAATATTTTGTTTTTATTAAGCAGTATTTTGTAAGCCGCTTTAGGCAGGTTTCCTGGAAAGGAAGGATGAAAAATTTCTAAATAAATTAATAAATAAAATGGTAGCCCCCAATATAATTTATTTTTTTTAATTTGATTTGATTTTTACCCTGCCCTCCCACCGAGACGGCTCAGGGCGGCTAACAACATTAAAACCAATAAAATAATACCTCTAAAACAGTCTATACAGTACATTAAAATTGAAATTTACACACAGTACAACATACCCATGGCGGCAACCATAAAGTGCTATCAAACTTGGTCTGGGTTAATTGAATGCTTGGCGGAATAGCTCCGTTTTCACCGCTCTCTGGAACTGGCAGAGGTCCCGGAGGACGCGGATCTCATGGGGAAACTGATTCCATAGTATTGGTGCTGCCAAGGAGAACACCCTAGTTCTAGTAGATGTCAATTTGGCGTCCCTAGGGCCAGGGGGGACCAAGCGGTCCTGTGACTCAGATCTCAGTGCTCTCGGGGGAACGTGCGGGGAAAGGCGGTCCCGCAGGTAGACAGGCCCCAGACCATAAAGGGCTTTAAAGGTCATAACCAGCACCTTGAAGCGTATCCGGAACGCTATTGGCAGCCAGTGCAGTGCCCTCAGCACCAGTTGGATGTGTTCCCTCACAGGGGCACCCACCAACAACCTAGCTGCGGCATTCTGCACCAGCTGCAGCTTCCGAAGTTGCCCCAAGGGCAGCCCCATGTAGAGAGCATTGCAGTAGTCCAACCTCGAGGTGACCATTGCATGGATCACTGACGCCAGATCATTGCATTTGAGGAAGGGGACTAACTGCCTAATCAGCCACAGTTGGTATCAATCAATCAATCAATCAATCAATCAGTTTATTACGGTCAAAGACCCATCAGACAGCATACAGAATCAAAAACAGTTTCCAGATTATCGTAAGACATTACAGAGAGGGGGGAAAAAACAAACAACCAAACAAACATCTCAAAGGAGTATTAAGGAGATGCTTATGGTTTGTAATTGCAATTAAAAGAAATTTAGCAACATTCCTTGAAATAGCCGTGGATTTGTCCTCCAGTAAGTGTTTCAGCAAAAGTTCCTCGGACTGGATTACTAATTGTCCTTGAAATCTAAATGACCTTAATAAAGGCGTAATTAAAAGGGCTCTTTCTTCTGCATAGTGAGAGCAATGAAATAATATATGGGGGAGGGTCTCTATTGACTCGGAAGGGTATGAGCAAAATCTCAGATGTCTGGGGATATGTTGAAATCTTCCGGAAAGAACTGCAGATGGAAAACTGTCAAATCTGGCTCTGGAAAAGGCCCATCTATGATTTGGGTTGGAAATATTAGCTAGGTATGAAGGAACAGACATTAAAGTTTTGGATTTCAGAGATTTGTAAAAAGGCGGAAGTGCGGCATAAGCTGTTTGTAACTCAATATTTCTGAGACGCTGGTAAACAGTGGTTTTTGCCGCAGATGGTAGAAGGCTGCCTTGGCAGTGGCTGCTACCTGGGCTTCCATTATCAAGGAAGCATCCAGGAGCACTCCCAAACTCCTGACCCTTGGAGCTGGCACCAATGGCGCCCCACCGAAGGCCGGAAGTGGGACCCCTACCCCTGTACCGCTCCGATTTAGGCATAGGACCTCCGTCTTCGTCGGATTTAGTTTCAGTCGACTCCGTCTAAGCCAGTCCGCTACGTCCCGCAACGCCCGGTCCAGATTTTCCAGGTTAGAGCCAGACCGGCCGCCCAACAACAGATAGAGCTGGGTGTCATCAGCATATTGATGACAGCCCAGCCCATGACTCCGGGCAATCTGGGCAAGGGGGCGCATATAGATGTTAAACAACATCGGCGAGAGCACAGCTCCACACTCTACTGGGTGCCTCTGGGACGAACTCTCACCGAGCGCCACCCTTTGTCCCCGGCCTTGGAAGAAGGAGACAAGCCACTGCAAGGCGAGTCCCCGAATCCCCACGTCGGCGAGGCGGTGGGCGAGCAACTGGTGATCGACCATGTCGAACGCAGCCGACAGGTCCAACAGCAGAAGTGCCGCCGTCCTGCCCCGATCCAGGTGCCTACAGAGGTCATCTGTGAGGGCCACCAGTAATGTCTCAGTCCTGTGGCCCGGGCGGAAGCCGGACTGAAATGGATCCAGCGCGGAGGTGTCATCCAGAAAGGCCTGCAACTGTGCCGCCACCGCCCTCTCTATTACTTTGCCTAAATAAGGCAAATTGGACAACGGCCGGTAGTTGGCCAAATCGGCTGGATCCAGTGCTGTTTTTTTTAGTAGAGGGCGGACTGTCGCTTCCTTGAGAGCCTCCGGGAACTGGCCCTCCAAGAGGGATCTGTTCACAATATCCCGGAGTGGACCTCGCAACCCCTCTCGGCCAACGCAGACGTCCTAACCTGGGACCTTCTGCGTGCCAAGTAGGCGCTCTGCCACTGAACCATGTCTCCCCCCCTCCAAAACTCTTTACCATTTTGAAAGTGACAAAACCAGCATTCCACAACACCTTCTCTGCCCTTCGCCTCTTTTTTGGAACTTCCCAGCTTTGCTTTATGGGGACATGCTCATTTGAAAAGGTAACAGCCAAGATAGAGCATTTTTATGGGTCTTAGTGGCTTTTATAGATCTACCTGCAGGCCCGCCTTTATAGCAAGTAGTAAACTACACCTGTTTGACTCTAATCTTAACTTTGTATCTGTCCAGAAACTGGCAGTTCATTATTTTTACATGAATGCTTTTTCTTGTAAAGGGGTTTACTTGGTAAATATGATGGAACTGAAGTAAATGTTTAATTGCTTGCAGGTGGACTACCACTTTGAATACACGGAGTGCGATAGCAGCGGATCCCGATGGAGGGTAGCAGTCCCAAATCTGGAAGTGGAATGTTCTGGTTTACCTGATCCCATCAAAGGGAAGGATTGCAGTATGTTTTCCCATATTGTTGATGCAACTCTCGTATAGAACTTCTTTGTTGTTTTGCTTACAGAATCAAGCATGATTTCATGTTTGTGATCTGACTCAGATGAAAAAACTCATTCGAGGCTTGATGAATGAATGAGCTTGTTAGAAAGCATATGTTTGAATTCACATTGAATTACTTTCTGGTGCCGTTAATTGGTCATCACTGTTTGCTTTCTCAGCTTTTTCGTGTGCTTCTGGGGAGTATCTAGAAATGAAGAACCAGGTATGCACTAAATGTCCTGAAGGAACTTTCTCTGTTGGAAGTGGGATCAAGTTTGTTGAATGGGATGATCTGCCAGCAGGATTCACTAATATGGCCACTTACATGGATTCTGTGGATGGATCGGGGAATAAAGCAGAGAGCTGCAGCAAGTAAGACCCTTGTGGATTTTTCCATGGCCAGTGATATCCTCTTCCACAAAGTACAACTGTCCTGCTGGCTTATTTTTTGTTTTTCTTATACCACTCTTCCCAAAGCAGCTTACTTGTGTCTTCACCTGGGCACTGACCCCGCCCCCAGCGTGCCCGGCGTCATAACGTCACTTCCTAGTGACTCGCACGCCGGGGGTGGGGTTCCCCCGGGGCCCGATTCCGCAGCGGCGGAAATCGGGCCTCCAAAGCGGGGGTTTACCCGCCCTCCACCCCCACTCGGCAGCCCTACTTATTCAGTAGCTTACAGGCTGTGGAGCCCTCCCCATTGCTTGCCTTCTAAAACCAGGCTTGTTTTTTGCTCCTGTTTGTCCAGATCTTCATGGAATCCTCGTGGGAATTATATTGAGTCAAACAGGGATGATTGCACCGTCGCCTTGATCTACACCGTGCTCCTGAAGAAGTCTGGTTTTGTCACCTTTGAATACCAATATAGTGACAAAAATATCATCTTTGAGTTTTTTGTAAGGGCCAGTTTGTGCACTGAATTGAAGAAGCAGTATTTGGAAAAGTGCTTTGTCAGTATGTATTGGATTCCAAAGGAATAAATGGGGGAAGTGGAGACTCTGAATCACAGCCGAGGGAGCACAAACTGTTTTAGGCTGAGAGATAGGACAGGAATCTTTAAAACAAGTAAGCTGCAATGTAGACCTAGCATGCTACCAGTAGAGAGTGTCTGTGATGACTGCTGTTGTATGAGCATATCGGGTATGCATATCTGGTGGTAGCAGTATTCCCATGGCTTGAAGTAGTTTTTCCATCTGCAGTTGCAGTGTATTTCAGGCAGGAATTGACTGACTGTTTACAAGTCTGCTTAGCAGTATAGATGGCGCCTCAGAGTACATGTGAATGCTTTGGGTTGCCTGGCTACCAATCCTGCCTGGCTACCAATTCCAGGAAAAAACTGGAATGCTGTGGTCTGTACTACCCACTTCAGTCAATATGTTTGTTGCAGCATTCTACACCAATTGACGTGTCGGAACATTTTTCAAGGGTAGCACCACCTAGAGTACATTGCAGTAATCTAATCCAGATGTAATCAGGGCATGTGCCACAGTGGCCAGATCTTTCTGCCCAGGAAAGGCTGCATCTGACTAAACAGTTGAAGCTAGTAAAAGGCACTCCTGGTCACAGCTGCCACCTGCTTATCCCATAGTTGGCCTAGGTCCAAGAGCACCCCCAGACTAAGGACCTGTTCCTTCAAGGGGAGAGCGATCCCATCCAGAATGGGTAACACTTTAAATGTTGGGTCACACCTTCCACTCAACTTTCTACTCAACTGTCTTTTCAGAATTAAACTTCTGTTTATTAGCCAGCATCAACGCCAAAATTATTTCCAGGTTCCAGTTTAGGGTTTCTACAGCTTCTCTGGTATCAGCTGGAAGGGTAAGTTAGAGATATAGTTCACTCTGTGAACTGAGGCAGATTGAAGAAGAGAGAAGAAGAGATTGGATTTATATCCCGCCCTACACTACCCAAAGGAGTCTCGGAGCGGCTTACAATCTCCTTTCCCTTCCTCTCCCCTCCCCACAACAGACACCCTGTGAGGTAGGTGGGGCTGAGAGAGCTCTTTCGAGAACTGCCCTTGAGAGAACAGCTCTGAAAGAACTTGTGACTGACCAAAGGTCACACCAGCAGCTGCAAGTGGAGGAGTGGGGAATCAAACCTGGTTCTCCTAGATTAGAGTCCACACTCCTAGCCACTTCACCAAGATGACACCACAAGCACTGGATGAATGTATTTTTCAGGATCACTGTCTGCATGTCTTTGCACTCACGGAACCTGTAAAGGTTGAGTGTTTGTCTGTTTCTCTTCCATGGGCATTCAGCAAACCTATGTTGGCCACGTATGGCTCATTTCTTTCTGCTGGTGACTTGTATTCCTAATTCCATAGGTGTCCTATGGGTATCTTGCGTGTTGGGTAGATTGCTCAGTGGAATAGATGAGTACTTTTAATAAGTGGCTAAGCATAAGGTGGATGGTAGCACAGGTTTCTCTCACCCTTGCTGAATCTTTCTCTGTGAAGAATGAATTGTGCTTTTTGCAGTCTCCCTACCTCTGACTGGCCTTAATTAAGACTTTCAGGCCAAGGTGAAGAGCCCTGGGTCTGAAACTCTGTCTTTATTTGCATACAAGGCATCCAAACAGGGACAGAGTAAGCAGGCCAGCCTGAGAGCACCATCGTTCACTGGCTTCAGTAGCATCTATGATGGACCCCTGTATCGCCCCAACTGTCTGGCAGATATTTCCCACCAAAACTTCAGTTCCCCTCAGTGTTTGAGTCGCCATACAGTAGCATGTATATCTTCTCATTCCCTTTTATATAAACTTGAAACTGTCTCACCCTTAGTTTAGATATTGGTTTAGGCTTTAGAAGAAGAAGAACAGGAGGAGAGACTGGATTTATAACCCGTTCTTCACTACCTGAAGGAGTCTCAGAGTGGCTTACAGTCCCCTTTCCCTTCTCCTCCCACAACAGACACCCTGCGAGGTAGGTAGGGCTGAGAGAGCACTTTCGAGAACTGCTCCTGAGAGAACAGTTCTATAAGAACTTATAACTGATGCAAGGTCACGCCAGCAGCTGCATGTGGAGGAGTGGGGAATCAAATCCGGTCCTCCCAGATTAGAGTCTGCGCTCCTAACCACTACACCAGACTGACTCTCATGGCCCTGTACAGGAACTTGAGGGAAAGACAGGAGCTGTCCTGTTTTATAAACCCTTGTGAAATGGCGCTTGAGGTAAATTAATTTTCAAAAACAGAATAAAGATTTTATTACACAGGCAGGGAATATATGTATGATAGGAATAGTGAAGGTTTTGAGATTGCTGAGTTAAAAGCTTTCTAATGTTTACAGAGGTGAATTCTTAGAATATTCAAGAGAGTGTATTTGTAGTTTTGTTTCAAGGTTTTCTAGTTCTTTCTTTGAGAGGTACTTTGTTTAGTATTTTTCAGCACTAACACAGTTTTTATTAATGTTTCTTCTGGAGGCAGCATTTGCTTAAAGTTTCTAGATTTCTTCCTTCAGAGTTCTAGGTTTCCCTTTAGATATTACAGCTTTTCACTAACTCCTGAAGTGTCTAAGCTTCTCCCCTTTATCATAGACCAGGGTTCTCTTCCCAACCCCTTTCACTGACAGGAAGTTATTCTCCTTGTCCCTAAGAAGCAATAACTCCTTTTACTATTTGGCTTATATGGGAGTTCACTGTAACTACCCAGATCTTGTGCCAAATCCTTCTCCAGTATCCTTTGTCTGTATAAGGCTGTTCTGTAGCTTTCTGACTGAGAATCTAAATTCTCCCTCAGAGCAGTTTTAATATATTTAGGACAATGGGGTTTCTTTTTGTTATGTACTGAGCCTGAACCATACCTGGAAACTGACTAAGCTTGTACACCAGAACAATAGATAGCCAGGATCCTGAAATGGGCCTATTGAGCAGGAGTTGTAATGTAAATACCCTATCACGGGGAGTGTGTGTGTGTGGGGTGTGGTGTTTTGCACGCATATAAGCAGGGCTCCAGCCCTGCTAGAGTTGTCTTAGAGTTAAGCTCAAATCACTAATAAACTATGAGCTGATCACTATATGCGTCTCGAACCCAGTATATTTCACTCTTCTTCTTTCTGTAGAAGTACTTCTCTGCCTATCACCTGTCAGAAAACACTGACTCCGAAATGTCTCTTCTCTCAGAAGCCAAACCCTCTGGCTACTGATCCAGATGTTAGTTTTCAGACAAAGACCAAAAATGTCTCAAAAGGTGAAAGACCAAATGGTGACAGCGCTCTTTTCCCTCCAGATCAGCTGTTTTATTTCCTCCCTCAGCTGCTGTTGGCCAATCAGAGAGACAGTAGAGCAATCAATCACATAAATTCTTACCTAGGGAAGATTAACTCATGAACTCCCTGATTCTCTGACACAAGCAGCCTTTTAAAAAGCCTGTTTTTCTCAGCAGTCTGTCATACCATCTATTACACTTTGCTAATACAAGGGATGTGTTGTATTAGCAAATGTGTTCTGTTTTTAACCGTATGAAAATGGGCGATGGCTAAAAAGGAAGCCACAAATGATTCTGCTTCAGTTCCATAAATTTGGTTCCAGATGCATTCATGTTATAGCTGCTTGACTGGGCAGTGACTGATTTTTCTCTCACAGAAAAACAAAAGCATTGCTAGTCTGATGTATGTTGTTCAAAGCTCATCTAGTAGCTTCTTACTACTTCAGACAAATCATCTTTAAAACTTACTAATAGGGAATGAGCGTACTATATTGAGTCAATGAGTAGGACTTACTTCTGAAGCATGATGGTCAGGATTGAATGCACAGTTGATATCTTCCAAGGCAGTGAATGGGTTTTCATATAACTTCCACTACTCTTGGAAGATCTGTCAGTCTTTACCAGAAGTCCATAGTTCAGTTCAACACAGAGTGCCACTATAATATGATGGTTGAGGTGTTGGTCTCGGATACAGGAGACTGAGGTTCAAATCCTACTCATCTGTGGAGCTAGGGAAACTAGGGCTGTGATCACATGCATCTTTAGATCCGACATAGCTGCAAATGCCTAAAGGAGACAATCAGACAGCAACATCTGGGAAACATCCCGCAGTCGTCAGCAACCTGTGCTGCTCCGTCACAGAAGCAGAGTTAAAAGACACCGGGGAAAGTCCAGCTCTAACTGGTTGTGACAGGCCACGGATGGACTTCCCCCTGTCTGATCATTCAGGCATGCTCTCATGCAGTCGGGATGGTCTGATTATTTCATCCTGACTCTGTACGGTTGTTCCCCACCCCCCGCAGTATGTCCATCATCACAAACTCCATAGCGAGCCCTCAATGCGGAGGTGCAATTCCTCGATTCCTCGTTTAAGCGCATGGGACACAAACGGGGGGGGGAAGACCCACCCGTGGTTGCATGCTGAACCCACAGCTTCAAAGGGAAGTGTGATCTCGCAATTGCATGTCGGATTCCTCCGGAGGAAATAGCCTCACTCCTCCTCCGCTCCAACTGGCTTGTGTGACCGCAGCCAAAGTGTCTTGCTTCAGTGGGAGACCTCCTGACCTACCTCTCCATTGCCTGCCAACCCACCAGCGGGTGGCAGAAAAATGTTTTAAAAAGCAGCATCACACTGATGGCCCAACATCACTTCTAGCAAGTACCTTAAGGTGATATCACATTGCCAGTGTGATGCTAATATGACAGTCTAGGATTCAGGGAAAACTGTATGAATCCTAGAGTGTCAATTCAACATCAATCCAGAGGTGTGATGTCACTTCTTGGTATTTGCTGGAATTGCCGTTCTGCTGTCTATATACCACCATTCCCCTCCCCGCCCTGCCCCTCCTCTCTTCCCAGCCTACCTGAAGCTAAGTGGATGATTTTGAGTTGGTAACTCTCTCTCAGTGTACCCAGCCTCAAAGGGTTCTTCTGAAAATAAACCGAGGAAGGGTTCGATAGCTATGCTATTCTGAGCTCCAAATCGACCAGATAGAACTTCTTTCAGCTTTGTCTTCCCCTTTGTATGTGGGGGTGGGGTTGTCAACTGACCAGAAAGCTCCCCCCCGCTTTTGTGATGGGAGCCAGAAAAACAGTGCTGTTCTCCCCCCACCAGTCCATTTGTTCTGCATTGCTGCTTGAAAGCCCCTTGCTGGGATTTCCATACGTCAGCTGTGACATGACAACACCTTACACAGATATGACGCTGTTAGAGTCAGGTGGGCAGCCATGTTGGTCTGAAGTAGTAGAACAAAGTTTGAGTCCAGTGGCCCCTTTAAAGACCAACAACGTTTTATTCAATGGATGAGCTTTCGTGCACATGAAAACTCATACACTGAATAAAACTTTGTTGGTCTTAAAGGTGCCACTGGACTCAAACTTAATTCTACATGATGCTGTTGCTACTGCTTTTGGTTTACAGAAAATTAACCTGATATTTGATCGTTCCTGTTGTTTCAATTGACAGGTTCAAAATGACCAGTGCCAAGAGATGGACTCCACAAGTGATAAGTGGATGAAGTTAACCAAAGATGGTGAATGGGGCTTCCATTCTGTGAGTACGACTTGGCCTGTTTGCTTTCTGGCAGGGGTTTAAAAGAGGTAGCTCACCAGCTGCCTCAGAGTAGCTTGTGTGTCCCCTAAAAGACCTGGGAAAAGATTGTGAGAAGGTTAGTTCTAGGCTTTTAAGTTTTTTTAAAAAAACTTTATTTTGTCTGTGGTTGCTTAGTTGGCAGCTTCCTTTCTGGTGTATTTCCTAGTCAAGGTTCAGTTTCCAGGACAGAACAAAAATTTGGTAATGTGCAAGGGTTGGAGGAGTAGCTCAAGATAAAGGAAATGTCAACAGCCCCATCTTATAGATACCATGGAACCCTGGTTTCATCATATATTTATTTAGGCTATTTATTATCCATTTTTCTCATGGGGACTCAAGGTGAATTATGCATAGAGTCAGTACAGTCAACAAAATTAACATTTAATACCCAATGCATTAGGATTTTAGAAGTCTGGAACCATCAGGAAGAACAGGCATAGCATAAGTATGCAAACCCAATTAACAACAATATTATTTTTTACGCAAAGTACAAACATGCTTAAAATATTAACGCTCTTACAGTATTTCCTTTATTTAACAGTCTTTGATAACTGACACCTCTTGCTCTGAATTATTGTATCAATGTCTGTGCTGTAGCAATCTTGAATATGCTGTTAGGTGTGTATCTTATCTGAGAACATACTTTTGATTTATTGATATTTATTGCACAGAAGAGCTGTTCACAGATGTACATTGTCCCAAACATAGGTTTTTAGAAGCAAAAGCCTTAAACTGGGATAATTTGGACCCCAAAACTGGTAACATTTGCCAGTGCCAACTTCAGAAAGCTTATCCTTCAGTACAGCATTACACTGCTCCACTATATACCTGCAATTTTTGGCATCCTTTCTTTGGTAGGTGGGGAGCAATGTTCCCTCTAAGCCGTGAAGTCTTGTGAGCAAAAATTCTGCTTTGTGAGCTACTGGCATGAAAGTTGTGAGCCAACAATTTGGCTACTGCATAAATTACTTTGCTCTGGAGCCCTCCTTCCTGAGCTAAGACAAAAATGTGTGAGCCGGAGGCTAAAAAACATTGAGCTGGCTCGCACTAACTCAGCTTAGAGGGAACACTGGTGGGGAGCACTGTGAATGTCCGATTTTGTTTAATTGTACTGACTCGCTATGTGTAATCTGCCTTGAATACGTCTTCTACCTTAGAGAAACTTCCTATTCCCCCCCCAGCCCCCACGCAAGTAATCCTAGGGGTCTTCCTCCCTTTCTGAAAATACACTTCCCCACTAAACTAGATCAGCAACTTTTTCCTCTGCAACCCTGGAAGCATTTTTACGTGTGAAGCAGGGTTTCTTCCCCACTTAGAGAGGTCCACCTCCAAATGTACACATATAATATAAATTCTCCAAGGAACCGGAGCCACCACCCTCAACACTTGCTCAATCCACCACAAAAATCATGAACCCTCCACGGATTCACCTCTGTGTGATTCGTCCACACCAATCCACTGTCTTCCAAACCTTCCCACTGACTACTCCTTTCCTTGCACTTCAGTTCCACTTAGGGACCTGACTTTCCACAAAGACACAAATACAGCCCATGGTGCTGAGGTTTGAGCACCTGGACTAACTGGAAGGCCCAGGTTCATAAGCCCCACTCTAACACGGAAGTTGCCGGGTGACTTTGGGCCAGTCACTCTCTCAGCCTAACATACCCTGCACAGTTGTGAGATCAAAAACATAGATGGGGAGAATGATGCTTCTAAATTGCTTTGGGTCACCATTTAGGGAGAAAAGCAAGGTACAGATGCCTAGAAAATAAAAATGATGCAACAAAATCTCATTAAGTCAGGTGGCGCAAGACTCCTTTTTTTTTTATTTTAGCCTCCGACTACACCCCTGCTCTTGCATGCCACCCCACCAACAAAATACTCAGCACCTTCCCTCACCTCAACAGCTATATTTCTCCTCCTCTCCCATGGCTTTCCAAGAGCAGTTCCCACCATGCACCCCCTTGCATGCATTTCAACCTTTCCCTTCATGCCCCTCTCTCCAGTCCCTTATACCCCTCTTCCCAGATACACTTTGGCATTCCCATTCCTACCCCGAATGCCTGTTTCCATCAGCATTTCCCCATCACCACCTTTACACATAATGACTTTCTCCCTTCCGTCTTCTTTGTCCTCTCTCCTCCCAAAGGGCCACTTCTCCAGCATCATGATGGAGAGAAAGCGAGAGAGGCAGGCAGAGGAGAAGAAGGTAGCGGCAACAGTGGTGAAGGAAGTAGCTCCTGCTGCTGAAGCGAAGGGGGAGGCCCAGCACACATGCACAGTGATGGGGAGGCGGTGGCCCCCCCACCTCTGACAGGAGGAGTAGAGGGGGTGATGGCCATATGTGCAGTTTGGCTTAAATGAATGAGAGAAAGGGGAGACCCTCCAGCCAGTTGACCTGACCTGGGTCTTTTCACTGCTCTTGTCACCACTGCCACCACCCTCCTCTTCTTTGCTCATGGGCTGAATAAGAGACTTGGACTGGCTGTTCCAGCCCTTGACACCCCTGCATTACGTGGTATAGAAATTACATAGTAGGATCCTACTTACAACAAGCTACACACAGCAGTATAGAGCAAAGTCCCTAATCATTTATTCAAGTAAGTTTGTTAACCCTTTTGTACTGTGCAACCTGTGCAGAAGAGCTTTCTTGAATAGTTCAGTTTTGCATAGTTTGTGGGAAGCCAGGAAAGAGGGAGCTTCCCTGATCTCCTTGGACAGGCCATTCCACAAGGTGGGAGCCTCAATGGAGAAAGCATGTGTATGGGCAGTTGTTGATGTAGCCCATTTGCAGGTTGGCACCTGCAGAAGCCCCCGCTGGCATAAGCGAAGTTGTTGTGGCAGAGTATAAGGGGAGAGGCAGTCCTGGAGATAAGAGGGTTCAAGGCCATGAAGGGCTTTGTATGTGATAGTCAATACTTTACACTGAGTCCAGTAACGAATGGACAGCCAATGGGGTGTCTGCAGAATGGGAGTAATATGCACGCTCTGTCTAACTCCCTCTAATAGCTGGGCCAGTCGCCATGAATGGATGATGAAACACCACACTTTGCTTTTTGCTCCATCCATTGTCCTGAATCTTCAACATACTCCCCACTCCCCTGTTTTAGACACTCTCAAAGGCC